TCACGGGACGGGAACCAACAAGGTGAAGCCTCTCAGGGAAATAAAACACATTCCTTGTGGCAGCGGCTGACATTGATCATCTTTCCATACGTTGAAGAGGTATCTCTGTGTCTTAGTGAACAGTTTGCAGACACTCTTCACCTATTTTTCTATTACCGTGATGTGAAATTCTCTTCCTGCATTCAGGAAGTACACATTTTATCTTTTTTTTTTTTTGTCGGTCGTGGGGCTTGAACTCTGGGCCTGGGCGCTGTCCCTCAGCTCTTCAGCTCAAGGCGAGAGCGCTCTACCACTTGAGCTACAGCGCCACTTCCGGTTTTCTGGTGGTTTATTGGAGATAGGAGTCTCACGGTCTCTCCTGCCCGGGCTGGCTTTGAACTGCGATCCTCAGATCTCAGCCTCCTGAGTAGCTAGGATTACAGGCGTGAGCCACCAGCGCCCGGCCACATTTTATCTATGATGTCAAAAAAGTGGGTCCCCTCCCCATAGTTCTTCTTTTCTTGTATCTTTCTGATGTTGCCTGGAGTTGTTTCTGATTGAAAAAGTGGAGAAAATCGATATAGTTTCAGCATTTCCTATCCCAATTAATATATAGAAATGATTCCCCTCGTTTCTTCTGTTACTTTATTATTATTATTATTTTTTACGGTTTCATTTTTAATATTTTAAGTCTTTGACTCTCTGGGAATGTATCCTGGAGTAAGGCATAAAAGTATGGACGAGTTAAACCTTTTCCAGGTGGTTTCCCAGTCAGCAGCAATTTCAATTAAAAACAAAAAACAAATGACTTTTTAAAAAATCCACCTACCTGAGTTTAAAACATTCCCAGGGTTGCAAAAGTTAGCGCAGGGGCTCGTAAGAGCTGTCACTGGCTCGGGCATCCGGCAGCCGGCCTGAGCTGGTGGTGTGGTTCGCCCTGCTCTCTTACAGAGTGGTGTTTTGTCTTTTTAGTTCTCCTGCCAATCTGATAAAGCACGCTACGGTGAGCCGCTGTTCCTTTAGTGGGAGGAGATAATTACAGGAAGGAACGCAGGAGAGAGCGTGCCAAAGGTCTGCAAGTGGAGGCTGAGAAGTAGCCTCTGGTCCCAGGGGGAGACCTTGGAGAACTCGGCTTTGGGGCGAGGGCTGGGAGAGGTGGAAGGGAGGGAAGTGAGGAGATACGGCAGGGACCAGAGCCAGCACAGGTTCAGGGAGAAAGAGATTTGGCCCCATGCTGGGGTCATCTGAAACTGAGTAACCCATGGTCTGGGGTTTTCTACAACTTGATAGAAGGAGAGGGGAAAGGTGGTGTATGTGTCCTGAAGGATCTGAGATGCTCAGAGGCTGGGAAGGGAGACAGGTCTGGTGTACAGAAAGGGTTCGTGGGACACATGGTCCTTTGGGTCTGGTCTGTGCCCCACCCCCCGATGTTAGGCTCAATGAGAGCCCAGAGATTCTCCCCTAAAATACCTCTCCAACTGCCCTCCCCGTGATCTCCAGGTGCCTTCGACCCCCTGTCATTGTAACTAAGGCATCTTTCAAAAACCCAGTCCTGAGCTCACGCCTGTCACCCTAGCTACTCATGAGGCTGAGATCTGAGGATCCTGGTTCAAAGCCAGCCCTGGGCAGGAAAGTCCATAAAACTCTGATCTCCATTGAACCACCAGAAAACCGGAAGTGGCATCATGGCTCAAAGTGGTAGAGCTCTAGCCTTGGGCAAAAGAGCTCAGGGACAGCGCCCCAGCCCTGAGTTCAAGCACCAAGACTGACCCCCCCCCAAAAAAAATCCCCAAACCAAACAAAAAACAAAAAACACACACACACAAAGTCATCTGTGATCAGTTGTGTTCTTCCTTCCTAAAGACCAGCAGTGATGGCACAAATCTCACACCTGATGTACTTTCTGCATAGTCTTAGTCTTCCCTCCGCCAGGTTTATTACCCTCCTCTACCACACGGGATTCCAAAGGTGCCAGCCAGGTTGCTTTGGTCCCACCCCGGGGCCTTTGCCCCTGCACGTCCCCAGGACACACACATACACACGCCTCTCCAGGTTAACTCCTCTCCATTCATCTCCTCTCCCATTTGGAGACTCTTCCCCGACACTCCTCAACATATCAGGTCCTGTCCCCCCCGCCCCCTCCCCAAACGCTTTCTTGACACCCTGTAATTTCCCCAAACAGCAGTGATTACCCGCAATTGTAGTTAGTTATTTTACCACTCGCTTGCTAATTTCTGTCCTTTTCCCGAGATTATATAAACTTGGCGTGTGTCTGTATCCCCCCCATGGCTAATGGAATTCCTGTGATAAAGCTGGCCTTCAGTAACTTCTCTCTTTTTTTTTTTTCTTCCCTGCCCACTGATGAATGGGGAATAGTGAGAGATAACCAGCCAGCAGTGAGCCCTGATTCCAAGTATCATAAACAAACAATGTGTGTGGCTCCCCCCCCCCCCACAGGGAAGGCCACATCCTACCCTCCATTAACCAAAAAAATAAAACATCCTTTTCTTCGAGGCGTCCCATCCTAATTACTGCCTGCATCTGGAACGTGTTTCTCCCTAGTCCAGCCCACTCCTCCGATCACTTATCTATCCAACCCCGGTGGCACCCGCTGACAGGAGAAGAAAGGGGGAGGAAGGAGGCAAAATGGAGTGAGAGACCACATTATGGCTTTCCTCAAACGACGGGGGACGTATTTTCCTTTCTCTGGAGTTCTTTCTTCTCTCTCTCTCTTTCTCTCTCTTTGAATACACAGCAACGCAGCCCCTCTCATTTTTTTAAAAAAAAATTATTTCTTCTTTCTTTTTTGCTTTGATCGCTCCCTCAGGAGCTGTCGCCGAATCAATGAGATCTGTAGACGTTTACAACTCGGGGGTTACCCGGCCGTGCTCCTGCATTTTACAGATGCGAAAACTGAGGCCCAGAAAGGTTAGCGCCGGCAGCAATTACCTCTGCGGGGTCTTACAAAAATGCTCATCAGTGTCAGTTGTTTTTTTTTTTTTTTGAAGATAAATGTTCTCCCGGTACCCCCGCTACGCGCGCGCGGCTGGTGACAACCATCTCCCGGTTACCGTAAAGACGGCCAGCCGCCGTGCTACGCTAAGCCCGACGCAGGCCGCTCCGTGCTGGTCGTCTCTCGGTGTTGGCCTTGGGTGCTCGTAGACTCTGCTCCCCGCCCGTCTAGCCCTGGCCCTCCACTGGGTAAACTGAGTCGCGTTCACCTGTACACTGCTGACCCAACTGGAACAATGGGTGGAAGCTAGAGAGTCCCAACCACCGCAGAACAGTAGAAGAAACCTGTCCTTTGTGTGTGTGTGTGCGTGTGTGCGTGTGTGCGTGTGTGTGTGCGTGTGTGTGTGTGTGCGTGCGTGTGTGTGTGGTGTAAGGTCCATGGAGAGGCAAAAGTTTTGTAATGACTCAGGATGGGGGAGAGTAGGTTTGAAAACTTGATGTGAAACACTGTCAGAACCACCTCCTCCTCGTCCTCGTCCTCGTCCTCCTCCTCTTCCTCTTCCTCCTCCTCTTCCTCCTCCTCCTCCTCTTCTCCCTCCTTTTCCTCCTCCTCCTCGTCCTTCTCCTCCTCCTCCTCCTCGTCCTTCTCCTCCTCCTCCT